TGTCCATTAACTGACTTGTGGAACTATGCACTGAGTTGCTCTGATAGTCTCCGTATGAAAACTAGTTAATTTTAGTTTCATTTGCAGTAACAAAAAGATATTCTTTGCTGTGAGTCACCATGGAGCTAGCCGCATGACCAACAATTACATTGCAGTGAGCTTAACCACTTAGTCTTGGCTTATGCCTTTGCCAGTGACCTGCACACCTGTCTAACTGCTGGACCATCATCCCAGTGGTAACGCATTAAAACTCAGAATGGCCAAATCTGCTGGCTGAAACAAAATATTAACTGCTGAACTTTAGCTAGGCAAGTTCCAATTAGGACTGAGACCTATCCATAAGCATGGCTTTTGGCCCAGCTCTTTAGCCCCTTGGCATTTAAAAAACTACATTTCATTTAGTGACTCTTTCTTGAAGCTATATAAAACAAAACCAAAAAAAACCTCCACAACATTAAAATGCTGTGGTGAACTTGTCAGGACTTGGCTACCAAAGATTTATTATGTGAACGGAATGAAGGCATAATAAGAAATATGATTAAACAGCCTTTCTCAGCTATGATTTAGTACTCACCACTGAGTATCCCCATAGTATTCTTAACCATCCCTTCAACTCAACATGTAAGATTCTTCAGAATAGAAATTGAATTGAATGTCACATATTAAAGGTTATTTTAAAAGGGAGAAGTTTTGTAACAACTCTAGACAAACTAATTGGTACCCAAGAACATCTGAATTTGATTGTCTTTCAGGAGAAATTACATCAGACAACTAATTCATTGTGCCTCATTTTATTTTTTTTCTTTTTAGAAAGACTTTAAGACTTTTTTTTTTCTATTTGAAACACCGTGATACTGAATTTGAATGAAAACAGAAGCATTATTGACTTGCAATAACAGCATTCTCTTATTTGGTTCTGGGAAAACTCTAATTGAGGTACTAATCAGTCATATGACCAAAAAGCCTGAGGTGTTTTGCTCATTAAGAGTCCAATTCATTAATGCTTTTATGTGACTTGCACAACTCTGCTGCTGGTTGCTTGTGTGGGAGTCAGGGGGTTATTCATAAAGGAATAATTCCAGTTTATCTAGATGCAAATTGTTTCACAAACCAAAAACTAGTCACATCTGGAAAATGTAAACCCCTTTCTCCACCCTTCCATTGCTCCCTTACCTCTCTACCTCCTACAAACCCCACTATCAACCACACTGAGAAACCATAAACTCACACACCAGGATAAGATAGAAATCCCTCACAGGAGAAAGATAGCTTATATGATTCAGCCATTTGCATTTATTTCCTCAGCCAAAGAGTAAAAGCACCTTTTAATTGCCCTTCCAGAAAAATAGTCACTGGTGATGATTGTTTTCCTTCTGTTTCAGAAATTGTCCCCTTTCCTTCCATGTAGCTACTTTTTTTTTTTTTTGGCAGGGGGAAGGGTCTACAGAGGGCACTATCAGGAGACAAGGTGCTTCTTGAATTATTTTTCCATTAATGATGATAGAATCATACTGATCTATTCACATTCGTCTCATTCACATTTTGTCCAATACCATTTTGCAGGGGCTGTGATTAGGGGGTAGGAGTGTGCAATCAAGGCTTGGAATAGAGAGAAGCTAGCTATCCTTCATAGGAACTGGATCCAAGACCATAGCTTTATTCAATTCAGCAAATATTTATTAAACACCAACACTGTGCAGGCCACAAATAGCCACTGACTTCATTGAAATTCTGTTCTACTGGCTGTTAATTTCTATTCTATTGGCACATGCCCAGATGTATAGACATAAAATAAATTCAGGTGGGAGAATGCATCAACAATTCAGGGGATCAAGAAAGACTTCGAATTGGAGATGACATCTGGAACTGAGTCTTAGAAGTGATTTTTAATAGCTAGTATTTACATGGCACTCTAAGGTTGGCAGAGAGCTGTTACAATTATTTCATTTTATCCTCATGACAACCCTGGGAGGCAGGTGCTCCTATTATACTCATTTTAGAGATGAGGAAACTGAGGCAGACAGTAGTTTAAGCTAGTAAGTGTCTGAGGCTGGATTGGAACTCTGATCTTCCTTACTCTAATTCCAGCACTCTATTCACTTTTCTACCTAGCTGCCTGTATTATAAGAGACTTCATGGTGCTTGATTTTGGCCAGTGAGTAAATGGGCCACAGCAGAAGCATGCTGTTTATAAAAGAGATATGGACAATTTACTCATTCAGGTGAAAAATAGAACTCTGTGAAGTCTTTTTCCTACTAATTCCTAACTCCATAAGGTAAGCTTCATGGCTGCATTATCAAATTAAAATATTTTGCCCCAAATTATATAATTTGGTCTGAAAAGAATAGTCAGATGACTTCTCTTACCATGTGAATTAGGTATGTTTTTAAAGAATTTCTAACGAATGTTTCTATAATATCAGAGTCATATTCCAACCCCATCCCAAGAAGTGTAGAAGACAAGTGATGATCTCCTGAAGAGGAAGCCACAGGAAAGATTAACACCCTACCTCCTGCCCACATTCCTTCCTTTCTATCAGCTGCACTTAGTTCCAGTATTGTGCTTAACAATTTTCTGCTACCTACAAGTTGGTACAGTAAGCATGTTTTGATTTCTGTATGAACATCCCGTTTTATTTATTTTTCATTCAACTTGTCCCACGTAACTACCTTCAGGCCCCACAAAGGTGAGTGTGGGGCTCAAAATGGCCATGTCAGTCATGACCCATTTGCCTATCCCTGTGGCAGACAATGTCTTAGTACTTACACTGATCAGTGACAAACATGACTACATCTGACATCTCAGTGAAACTGAGCTTTGCCATAGGCAAGAGACTCTGGCTTTCATCCTAAACTTATTCTGCTTGTCTTTTCCCATAGGGCTTGATTTTTATGAAATGCTAGATTTGCAACTTGATGCTAGTCAGCTTTATGCTACCAAGCGTGTAGGTATAAATTTCCTGTCCAAATTCCAGAAAAGATAGCCTGTCTTTTTCCATGGCATTTTCTCGTGACTTTTGGATTTTTCCCTGCAGGATATCAGTCTCTGCAACCACTAGGAAGCATATGTGACTTTCCTGGAGCATTTTTTTTAAATGGCATAGGAAAGCTGCCTTCAGGGAAGCGTAGTGAAAGCCACCATTCAACTATTCTCATGTACTCAGTCATTCATTTATTTGTTCCCAAAATATTTATACAGTGCCTGCTATGTAGAAAGAGCCGTGCTAGGCATTCCTGGGCCTTGCTGCACCCGTGCAGCACTGCCAGGGCATTGAGACACCTGAGTTCTAGTATCCATTCTGCTATTAAGCAGTTGTGTGCAGGTTACTTTACTTGTCATCTGTAAAATGAGGATGTTGAACAATGGAAAGAATAGTGGACTTGGAGTCAGAGGACATAGGTTTGGATCCTGGCTCTGCTATTTTACTACTGCTAAGACCTCAGGCAAGTCATATAACCTCTGTGGACCTTAGTTTCCTCATCTGTAAAATCAAGGGGGTGGATTATATGGCCTTTTTAAGATCAGTGGATTTCTAAGGTTCCTTCTAGCTCTAGCATTCCATGATTCTAATTTTCTGCACCCTTTCAAGGCTACCCAGATGCTTATGAGTTTGTGATCATAGTTAGGTAGAGATTTTCACCTTCTTTTTGTGTAAACCCAGGGTGATGGAAAGGGGAACACAATTAGGTTGAATAATTCCCATGAATTTTAGTGACCTCTGCCTCTCTGCCTCATCCCTCAATATGTCTTCTGGTGCTGGTTCCAGCAGAGGATCTCGTATATGTTATTTGTAACATTCACTTAAAGATCAAGAATAAGCATTCAGCTTTTGCCAAGGAGTTCAAAAGGAAAACCAGTGAAACTTCATCAATTTTTCCAATGTTTGAATTATCTAGCTACAGGTTATATCCCTAAAATAAGAGCTCTCTAAAAGGGAAAACATATATAGGTACCTAAGTTTAGTAGGGCCTCTTAATCTTTTTTTATGTCCTGGACCCCTGTGGCATTTTGGTGAAGCCTATGGAACCCTCCTCAGAATAATGCTTTTCAGTGGCATAAAATAAAATTTATAACACTACAAAAGAATACTAGGGTTTAGTTTGATAATAGAGATATTAAAAAATTTTAAACACAAGTTAAGAACCCTGGTTTAGATCTTAAAGGATATGCACTGAAAAAAAGACTTCAATTATAAATCATTCAGGTTTTGAAGGGGGAAAAAGTGGCATATATTCAGAATAATATGGTATCTTATCTTATGGGTCTAGGATAATAGCTTTACACCTGAAATAGACCTTAGTAGTCAGAGGATTTATATGAGCACCACAATTGGTAGGAACATTGATCACTAGTTGGAAGGGACCTTTGAGGTCTCCTAATCCCACCCCCTCATTTTATGGATGAGGAAACTGCGGCTCAGTGAGTTAAAGTGACTTGCGCAAGGTCACACAGGTAAATAAATAACAAAATCTGGATTCAAATCCAAGTTCTTTGACTCCAAATTCAATGGTCTTTCCATTGTGCCACAGTACCTTTTGAAAGTTACTGTCTCTATGTTCAGAGAATATAGATTTGATCTCAAAAGTTTCTTAAAACTCTATTCATTGCTCATTCTCTCTTTTTCCTAAATGCCTCCTTGTAGATATGTGGATTGTTTTTTTTTTTTGAGGATAAAGAAATGGAAATCAAGGATAAGTCCAATGAAGTTTAATTCATGATCTTGCAGATAATTCTTTCCCTTTTAAATTGTTTTTAGGATTGAATTATAGTTTCCTATTTCCATTAGCTTTT